CCGTACCTAATTAGCAGTGTAAGACTAGAGGAAGGCAGCTAGTCATCACCAACCAGCCGAACTCTTGGGCTACTCTTTTACCAACGAATAGTGGGATTGACCGTCACATTATAACGCCCCCACGGCTGAAAGGGCGAGCATGTTTGGTGTGACGGGGATTCGAACCCGCGACCTGCAGACTGCGAGTCGAGCGCCCTAACCACCTGGCCATGCCGGGCCAACAGCAAATGTACATCGTTTCAATGATGACAAAACCTTGTCGAAACGTTGTACATTTGCTGTTATGTTAAACTTATATTAAAGTTTTTCTTCATTACCCAATCAAGCTGTCTCCAACCATTTTTATTATTTTTTGCTTTTGAAGTTCATATGTCATGCTGTATTGTAACCTACAAAGTGCATAATTCTTTCCGTGATTCATGATATGCGCACGTTTTACTGACGTCATAACAGTACAAGTTGAAATGTTAAACGTCACTTATATGACGTCATTTGAGTGTCTACTGACTGACTGACAAACAACACACTACTATATAATGGTGGGAGTGGGTAAAACAGGTGACCCGTCGAGGAAGCCTTAGGCCCCCTTTCGGGGAAATAATATCCAAAATATAAATACCTGTTTTATCTGTGTCAACACAGCACAGTACTGGAATAAATTTAATATTTATCAATATATTTATCTGATCAAAATTAGTATATTACATCAAGATATGTTGATAATTTATTGGGATTAACTAAAAAACGAGATATTTATAACTGTTAATTAATGTGAACGTATTTTTTCTTATTTTCTGCCTTGTAGTTAAAATGGAGGGAATGAAAATACCCATCACAATTGATAAATAGCTGATGTTGAATGAAAAAGTTTTGCGTTCTGTTCTTAAGATTTGATGGTACTAATGTCTTTCAGTTTATTTGTACTGGTTTATTTATAATAGGTTTGTTTTTTAATTATGCACAAAGCTACACAAGAGCTATCTGTGCTCTGCCCACCAGGGGTATCGAAACCCGGTTTCTAGCGTTGTAAGTCCGCAGACATACCGCTGTGCCACTGGGGGCATTTATAATAGGACTATCATGAAAAGGGGGACTATATTTTTCTTAATCCATAATCTATAAACCATAATTTTTACTTTACTATAGTAAAATGGTCACGTACGTGCCTATTTGAGTGCATTCTTCATCCGATACAAAAGTAATCAGTTAAGAACTTGTAACTGTTGGAACACCAACATAAAATCTATGAGCTTAAAGGTATTATAAACGTTTAAAATCTAGAAAAACTAAGCCGAGGCTTAAGTAAACTTTAATACTAGTGTGGAAATATAATAGTTTAATAACTTTACACAAGACAATATTAGCAAGCACATTTCTAGCGAATTAACAAATGCACAGCATTAAAATCTTGTTAGGTTATTTCAATTTTCTCATTTGTGGTACTTTACCGAATACCCTCGGGCCTTTGTTCTAATACTTAAGCATCTTACATTTATCAGAAAGCATAAGGACTTCATTCAAGCTTCATATATATATATATGTGGTACTTTACTGAATATCCTCAGGACTTTGTTCTCATATTTAGGCATCTTTCATTTATCAGAAAGCATAAGGACTTGATTCAAGCGTTCACGTGTATGTGGTACTTTACTGAATATCCTCGGGCCTTAGGCATCTTGTATTTATCGAATAAGACAAAGGATTTCGTTACATCTTAAAGATACAGTTTTTCTTACACCACACACGTGATATTTGCAGTTATGTAAAAGGAATGGTGTGGAACGCTTGTGCTATTTCACGAAACACATAATCAAAGGAAAACTATTCAAGCCGCTTGTTTTTGTAGTTAAATTATAAAACTTAATCTGACGCATCTGATGTTATTGCACAGATTTTTCGTGGTGTATGAAACAGAAAGCAACCAACCATACAGATACAAGTTATATTAAGCTACAATAATTTAACACCATAACATCCTTGAAGTATGGCTAGAACAATATAACCATATTACATTAGACAATATACAAATTATGCTACTGGTTGTTCTATATGAGAGATCACGGGATAGTTTTGTTAACTTAAAAAACGACATCAACAAACAAACAACAGCAACAGGTTATTGTTTTGAAATGAGTCTATATCACTGGGTTAATAATTCCATTATTCATAAGATGTTAATATGGGGGGAGGTAATTTTGTGCAGGTAAATATATCACTTTAGATAAAATAGAAACGAACTATGTATGTAAGTTATTTTTATTTTTTACAGAGTTACACAAATTCGTTGTAAACATTTTAAATGTGTTTAATTGTCTTAAGCTCAAACTTACACAATGGGCTTAATGCGATGCGCAATACCGCGAAGAATCGAAACCCGGAGTTCAGCGTTAGGAGTCCTCAAGCTTACAACTGAGCCATGGATGGATATTTTCATTTTTTTGTATAAGTACATTTTCTCTATGTATATTAAAGATAGGAATGTCCATATTAGTTGTACAGGTAAATGTTTTCTAGCTACAAACAATAAAATCAACATGGTGAAGCATATAGCTAATTAGATATACTTTTATTGTGCTTTTACTTCTAAAGACATAGTGAATGAGTCAGTAACTGATAACTCCATAGAGAATAATTAAAACAGGTATGAAAACCATGGCCAAG